TGGTTTTTCGAGACAGGGTTTCTCTGTGGCTTTGGAGCCTGTCCTGGAACTAGCTCTGTAGACCAGGCTGGCCTTGAACTCACAGAGATCTGCTTTGCCTCTGCCTACAGAATGCACCACCACTGCCCAGCTTTTTATTTTTATTTACTTGGCTAGGGTTTTAATGTTCTTCCTTCAGTAGGTGGTCTCTCTCGGAAGTCATCTTGCTTCCGAGGTGGGGCTTCTCGGCTCCCTTCTCAGTGGCCATGCAGAAGTTCCCTCTGCAGAAAGAATTTATGCCTGGCGATGGTGGCGCACGCCTTTAATCCCAGCACTCGGGAGGCAGAGGCAGGTGGATCTCTGTGAGTTCGAGACCAGCCTGGTCTACAAGAGCTAGTTCCAGGACAGGCTCCAAAGCCAAAGAGAAACCCTGTCTCGAAAAACCAAAAAAAAAAAAAAAAAGAAAGAAAGAAAGAAAGAAAAAAAGAAAGAAGTTATGCTAGTGCTTGATCAGGACTTCCAACTCTGATATCCCATCCAGATGAAAAAGAGAAGGGATGTCGATCAAGACAGAGAGGTAGATCTAAAGTATTAACTCATGCCTTGTCTCTAGGGATAAGTTCATGGGGAAAGACTGGACAGCCAAGCGGTAAGCATAGCATCTGTTGGGGCTGGAGAGATGGCTCAATGGTGAAGAGCACTGGCTGCTCTTCCAGAGGACCTATCTGGGTTCAATTCCCAGCACCCACATGGCAGCTCACAACTGCCTGTAACTCCAGTTCTAGGGGACCCACCAACACCCTCACACAGATATACATCCAGGCAAAACACCAACGCCCATAAAATAAAAAAATAAATAATTTTTTTTTAAATAACATATGTCCCAAAAGGAGACCTGCCTGGAAGGGGACCTGCAAATCCCTCTGCTCTCAACCTCGCCTGCCCTTCCCCACTCTCTAGCAGCCCCCACTTTCTCTTTGTGGGGGGAGAACCCACTTCCTGTTCCTTTTGTCCTCACAGCTTTTCAAAGAAAAAAAATAAGAAATGGATGGTAGGGACCTTCATGGTAGCTTAAGTTGCAAGCAGAAGGCAAGTTCACGGAGGACTTGAGTTCTGGATCCCAACTCTCAAATTTGATTTCCCTGGGGAGGGCCGGGATTAAAGATTAGCAAATACAAACTGGGCAGTTGTGGTACACTCCTTAAATCCCGCACTTGAGAAGCAGAGGCAAGCTATCTAGACTTTATGAGTTTGAGGCTAGCCTAGTCTACATGGCCAAGTTCTATGCTAGTCAAGGATCCTTACTGAGACTGTGTCATTATAAATAAAGCTGGGCGTAGTGCTACACACACCTTTAATCCCAGCACTTGGGAGGCAGAGGCAGGCGGATCTCTGCGAGTTTTGAGTCCAGCCTGGTCTACAGAGTTCCAAGATAGCCAAGGCTGTTACACAGAGAAATCCTGTCTTGAAAAACAAAACAAAACAACAAAAAAGAGACAAAACAAAATCTAGAGAAAGCAGAAAAGAAAAGGCAATGACAACAAAACCGCCTTTAAAAAAAAAAAGAAAGCCGGGCAATGGTGGTGCACGCCTTTAATCCCAGCACTCGGGAGGCAGAGGCAGGCGGATCTCTGTGAGTTCGAGACCAGCCTGGTCTACAGAGCTAGTTCCAGGACAGGCTCCAAAGCCACAGAGAAACCCTGTCTCGAAAAACAAAATAAATAAATAAATAAGAAAGAAAGAAAGAAACAGACACAGAGGAACAAAGATAGACACACTGGCCAGAAAGAAAGGGAACTAGCTAGAGGCATAGCCAGGTCTGGAGGAGGTGAAGGGTAACGCAGCCAGCAGGTGGGGGGCGGGGATGGGGTATAAATAGGGCATAATTGTGTTGGATGATTACATGGGCCACCCCACCCGTCTGCCCAGAAGGAAGTGCCCGTGGTGGGCCGTTCCTATGACCTCGTAGTCTCCTCTATGGTGGTGGTGGGGGCCGTTCCTACGACCTCATAGTTTCCTCCATGGTGGGGGGAAGTCAAAGGACAAAGTGTTGGTTGAATTTCTAGGGTTTTAATTAAGAGACTGGGAAGAAGAAAAGGAAGCTCTCTGGCAATTCCTGTATCATTAGAGAAACAGAGGGTAGATCAAACAAGAAACTGAGGCAGCAGGGAAATCTAGATTCTAAGAACAAAGAAACGAGAGAGGGAGTTGGATCCAACCCTGACTACAAAGAGAATGAAAGGGTAAAGGATGGATGAGGAGGAGAAGGTAGAGACTCGCAGGCAGGTAGATGCCAAGGGTCAGCCTTTCCACTCCCTGTGGGAAGGGGTAGATGCACTCAAAGCCAAAGAATGGTAGGAAAAGAAACAGAAGGAGCAGGATCCAGGAAGATGTTAGAGCCAGGGCCTGAGGTCGGAACCCAGATGGGCAGCCGCTCCACACCAACAAGCCTCCTGGACAAGGATCTGTGTCAGCCAGGTGAGGGGTACCCACAGCCCTCAGGCTCTGATTTCCGACTTTTTTTTCCCACTCCAGTTAAGACAGCATTGCAAGCCAGCTGTGGATCTGGTATTCCTGGGTCCTGTTCCCCACCCACCCCTCCAGTACCCTCAGCAGCTGGGGGCAGCAACTGGAATCCCTTTCCAAGGACCTCCTCCACCGTCACAGGCCTCCCTCCGCCCAACCTCCCAGGGGGTGGGGCAGCCCAGGCAGAGGCGCCATGTGGCAGCGGCGGGTAAAGGCTGCGGCTCTGGCCCTTCCAGTATAAACCCCCTAGGCATCTGGTTTCTATCCACCACCCCCACCACCCTGGGGGCCCCTTAGCCTCCGCCCATGGCCACCCAGACACTGAGCTCTGAGATGGACGTCCCTCGACGCCTTTCTGATCTCCCAAAGCCAGCACTGGGCTGAACCGCAAGGACCACTCCCTTCCCTCCCTCCCTCCCGCGCGAGAGGTTCAGGGTGGGCTTTCCTAGACTAGAGGGGTTAAATTTGGAACCTGCCTTCAGTTCTAATGATTTTGCATCTTTTGGAAAGGTGGAGGGAGAACGAGATTTGGAGAGAATGGAAGGTTTTACCCCCTGTTCCTGGAGGGGTGGAAAAGCTAATTCTGCCTGTGCTCACCTGTTCAGGATTTCTCTCTGAAATCTCTATCAAGGGGACTGCTAGGCACTTCCCACGGAACTGTTACAGATTAGACCACTTAGAGAGACTCACCAGAAAGGAGAAAATGGAACCCTTTAAACTGACACATAACCCCACAAGCCTGATGAATAACACACAATCAGGTACACATACTAGCACACTAGAGAACACAGAACCCATTCACATTATGTAGTGTGCAGACATCCACACTAATGCACACTGATTCAGAGGCGTCCTATACATACCATGCTTACGCTAAGGCTCCCTGATTCTCATTCATACAAACACGCACAGGTATACACACGCATGTACAGATTCGGTGACCTTGATATGTCTTGTGGACCCATGTAGACTCATGTCAACATAGCAGCTCCACACAGGCAAATGTCACAGTCCCATCACTTGGGAGGTAGAGGCAGAAGAATCAGAAGTTTGAAGTTATCCTCAGCTACACAGAGAATTCAAGGTTAGCCTGGGCTACATGAGGCACTGTCTCAAAAAGTGAACAAACAAATCTAAGAGTAGGCAGGATATGGCCAGCCCTATACATTGCTCTCTCTGCCTCCTACTAGGGTAGGAACCACCAGGGACCTTTGATCCCTTACTGCCCACACCCACAGGAGTCCAGATACCCAGATGGCCTCAGCAGACTCCTTGGCCCTGGGGAACCCCAGGCATCTCTACCCCCACCCCCTGCCCCCCTGCTCTGTGGCCCTGCTGACTCAACTCTCCCTGCGTGGAGCTCCCCAACCACAGGGGCCTGGAAGAGAAGCCTGGAAAGTTGCGCTCATGTCCCGGGCCCCTGGTCTGGCCACTGCCCGTCCCCAAGCACCCAGGCCCAGCCCTCCTCTTCAGAGGCAAGCTCCAGTGACAGACAGTCTATAGGGATAGGAGAGAGAAGGCACCCGAAATCAGAAAACAGGAAGACACAGGGTGGGAGACTATCGTTTCTGGCACCAGGAGGCTGAGGGCAGCCTTGGTGACACTGTGAAACCACACCTCAGAAAGAAAAGATGACAGGCACACATTTGCAATCCCAGCACTCAGGAAGCTGAGGCAGGAAGATTGCCGTGAGTTCTAGATCAGCTTAGGCTCCATACTGAGTTCTGGTACAATATGAGTCAATGTGGCATCTACCTGAAAAACAAAAACAGAGATAAACCAGATAGTGCAATGGGGAAGGACAATTGCTACCAACCCTGATACTCATGAGTTTGAACCCCATAACCCATATGATTAATGGAAAGAACTGACTCCTGCAAGCTGTCCGATGACCTCCACATAGGTGCTAGAGCACGTGCCCCTTCCTCATAAAGAAAAGAAAACCCCCCCCACCCCAACAAGTACTTATACAAATATGTATTCCTGTCTGATATTTTGTTTGTTTCTTTGAGACAGGGTTTCTTTGTGTAGCTTTGGAGCCTGTCCTGGAACTCACTCTGTAGTAGACCAGGCTGGCCCCAAACTCACAGAGATCCCCCTGCCTCTGCCTCCCGAGTGCTGAGATTAAAGGCGTGCGCCACCACCACCCGGCTGCATTTCTGCCTTTTAACAGTGCAAGGCTTTAGTCTTGGTTCTCCCTCTTCTCTGAACCTCAGTTTCCTTGGTTGACATTTGAGCCTTGAAATGAAACAGGAGTTTCAGGGGAGACAGATCAGAACCTGAAAGAAGGCCTATGAGAACAGAAAAGGAGCAGGGAAAGAGAGGACCATGGGGAGAGAGGGGCAGGACAGCAGGTGGAGCCCTGGAACACAGGAGCCTTCCGTGCTTGGGTGTCTATCATGTTCAGGTAAGCATTGAACTAAGACCCTGTAGGTCCCCAGGAAACGCCCTTGTATTAAAATAGTCTCTAGAGTGCTCCCTTCAGCGTCCCTAGAGTGCTCCCTTCAGCAACACACATATTAAAAATTAGAACAGCACAGAGATCAGCATGGCCCCTGTACAAGGATGACCACAAACTTACGAAGTATTCTAGATTTTTATTTGTAGAGGAAAAGTATGCCCTGGAATCCTACGTGAAATCTATTAGCATCTTTAGGGCTGGAGAGGCAGTGGTCAGAGGACCTGAGTTTGGTTCTTTATAGCTATGTCAGGTAGTTCACGACCATTTGTAAATCCAGATCCAGACCTGATGTCTCTGACCTGCGCTCATGTTCACACACAGACACACAGACACATAGTTAAAAATAAAATAAATCTTTCTTTTGAGAGGGCTAGCGAGGGTGAGGTGGTTCAGTGAGCTAAAGCAATTCCTACCAAACCTACTAATTTAAACTCAATCCCAAGACCTACATAACGGAAGATTCCTGCCAACTGTCCTTGTTGTGACACACACACACACACAGTAATAAAAGCGCATGTATCCACATTTTTGTTTGGGTTTGGAGACAGGGTCTCTCTGCATAGGTCTAGCTCTATTGGAACTCACTGTGTTGGTTGAACAGGCTGACCTTGAACTCACAGAGATCTACCTGCCTCTGCCTCCCAAGGGCTGGGATCAAAGAAGTATGCCACCATGCCCAACTAAGAAATGACACTTCGAAATCCTGAACACAGGCCTGGAGGGATGGCTTAGCAGTTAGGAGCATTGACAGCTCTTTTGTAGGGCCCAAGTTTGATTCCCCGGCACCTGGAAGCTCATAACCATCTCTAATTCCAGTTTCATTCAAGTGGATCTGAGCTTCTGGCCTCTTCAAGCACTAAATACACATGGCACACAGACATACATGCAGGCAAAACACTCATACATATAAAATAAAAATAAGCCGGGTGGTGGTGGCACATATCTTTAATCCCTGCACTCAGGAGGCAAAGGCAGGCGGATCTCTGTGAGTTCGAGGCCAGCCTGATCTACAGAGGACAGCCAGAGCTGTTACACAGAGAAATCCTATTTCGAACAAAACAAAACAAATTTTAAAAATCAAATTAAATTAAATAAATCTTAAGAAAATTCAGTTCTGAATACAACTCAGGCACTCTGGAGACTGAGGTAACTTAAGATCATCTGATATTAAGGCCAGCCTGGACTATTCAATACTTGAGTTTCACGCCAGTCTGGGTTTCTTGACCTTGAACTCCCAACGCTCCTGTTTCCAGCTTCAAAGTGCCGGAATTCCAGATGTAGACCACGGTGTCCAGTCCACACAATGTTAGGGATCACACCCTGAGCTTCGTGCATGCCACTTCGTCAACTGAGATACATCCCAGTTTTTACCTTTCTCTCTCTTTTTTATTTGTGGTGTGGCAAGGGATTAAACCCGGAATTTCCTGCTTGCCAAACAAGCATAACCCTGCTCTAATGGTTGGGATCACAGATGTATGAAATTTGAGATGAGTCTGCAGAGGTCAACATTCACCAAATGTTGAAAGAGCATATACTGTGTGCAGAGACACAAGAACTAGGCTTAATCCTGCAACCATAAACATGGCTTGTCCAGCTCTTTGTCTCACAAACTAACCAGTAACTAACAAAAGAAAAGGAATCACTTTAATTAGAGTGAGTATGGGATGCTATAGGAGACAGGGTTAATCTAAGTCCATATTGCGGGAATCAAGGAAGGTGGCTGAAAGAAAAGATAACCATATAAAGAAACCAAAAAAACTGGATGTCGTGGCTCAGATCTATAATCCTAGCACTTAGGAGGTTGAAGTAGGAGTGCCATGACTTTAAAACTGGCCTAAACTATGTGGTAAGATTCTACCAAGGAAGTTGGGCGGTGGTGGAGCATGCCTTTAAACCCAACACTCAGGAGGTAGAGGCAGGCGGATCTCTGTGAGTTCGAGGCCAGCCTGATCTACAAGAGCTAGTTCCAGGACAGGCTCCAAAGCCACAGAGAAATCCTGACTTTGAAAACAAAACAAAACAAGACAAAAAAAAAAAATCTACCAGAGGAAAGAAGGAAAAAAATGGAAGAAGGTGATGATAGAGAAGGGAAGGCTAAATAAAAATAAGGATTGGTCTGGCTGGGCACGGTGGAATACATTGGTAATCCCAACATTTGGGATGGGAGGCAGAGGCAAGAATATGGTTTTGAGTGGGCTGGAGAGATGGCTCAGTGGTTAAGAGCATTGCCTACTCTTCCAAAGGTCCTGAGTTCAATTCCCAGCAACCGCATGGTGGCTCACAACCATCTGTAGTGACGTCTGGTGCCCTCTTCTGGTCGGCAGACAGACAGAATATTGTATACATAATAAATAAATAAATATAAAAAAAAGAATATGGTTTTGAATTCCAGGCCACAAACAACATCAACAAACTTTTATCCCATAAACAACATCAACAAAGTAGAAAGATTGCAAATGCACAGAGTCCCAGGGTCGCCGTTGAGATGCTGATGTGAACAGAGGCATCAAGGAGGCTGAGCTAGGGCTGGTGGCACAAGCCTGTATTCCCAGCTACTCCAGACACTGTGGCAGGAGGGTCACCAGGCTCCTAGGCAGTTTTGTGAAAAACTGCCACACACACAAAGGGTGGTGGTGGGTGCTTGCTGTAGGTCCATGGTAGTTGTTTCACAAGTGCAAATTCCCTGGGTCCTGCCCCAGGCCTGGAGAGCGAAAAGTGGGGGTGGGCGTGGGGGTATGGTGGAAAATGTCTCATCAGCCTTGCAAGGTTTCTGAACTCGATTCCAAGGACAGCAAAGAGAAATACCCTTCTATTAGAAAGACGGCTCTGCCTGCAGGGATGGGAATGAAGTAAGTCTAGAGCCAGATATTCCGGGTCAATCAGCTGTTTAGTGAGGTGCAAACCTGGGCAAACTGTTTAACCTATGATGTCTAATGTGCCTCTTCTGTACAAAGGGGAATCAAGACACTCAAGTTCCAGGGTTGTTACAATTAGAAACAGGACTCAGTGGGTAAAGGTACCTGCCATCAAATCAGAGTTCCTCCCCTTTGACCCATGGACACCTGAAAATTATTCTCTGACCTCCACACAGGCGCTGTGGTACAATACAACCACCCCAAATAAAAATAATGTTTAAAAATCCACAAAACCTAGAGACGTGCGAGCCGCCCACCTGAGCTAGAACTCAAGCACCGTACTACTGAACTGCACCTTTATCAACCACTGGGCGGGACGACACCTCTAGCCGTTGGTGGAGGACGAGCTGGAAACGAGCAAACCAATTGTGTTTGAGGCAACAGAGTGGTTGTATCAAAGTGTGTGTGTGGGGGGGGGGGGGTAACGTGGAAAGGAGAGCCAGCCTGATTGGTCAGGAGGAACGAGCAGGCATGCAGGTTTTAACTCTGAATTCAATTCTGAGAATGGCCCTGGACAGCCAGCGGCTCTGGTGGATAGAGTGAGTGAGGGGCTAGCGCCCTATCTGAAGGCCTTCCCTCAGCATTCTAGCAGGAATCCCCTGAACTCGACTGGGCTTCTAAAGAACTATTTCCCGACCCTTTGACGATCATTCCTGCTTCTCCCGTTCCTGCCTTTTCTCCTCTGCTTAGAAACTTTCCCCACTACCATTGTTAATGAGAGTCCCTAGGAGTCTGGCACCACTCCCATCTCCACCAGCCTCAGTAAACCGGTTATCCCCCTGGATTTCAAAGCACCGTTCCAATTTTTCACGTGGAGGCTCGAAGCAAGATGTACATACAATGAAAGTGTGAGTGAGTCTCAGCCTCCAGCTAAGGGTGTTAGAGAAACAGTTGCAGCCAGAGGGACAAAGCAGTGAGGTCTGGATTGGGGCATCTCCCAGCGCTGACGCTGGCCGCCAGGGACCTCTTGCATGCCTCAGTGTCCGGGTTCCGCGGGCTGGCGAGGGGCGGGACGGCTGGGGGCGGGGCGCAGGCGGGGCAGGCCGGGCCAGGCGCCCGGGCAGGAGGCAGCTGCATATCTGCGGTCCTGACCGCAATTGCTGGGAGTCGCGTCCCGGAGACTGGCGGCGCTGACTCTGCCCGCTGCGGCCGCCGCGCCGATTAGAGCCCGAGAGGGAGGGCCAACCCAGGGAGGGGGGCGAGGGAGTACCGGTGCCCCTTTCCCTCTGTCCTAGCCAGCACCTCCAGATGCCCAGCAGGGTCTTTCTCAGCCTCCCTTATAAACACAGCATAGGAGTCTTAGCCTTTCAGCCTTGGCTTTATCCAAACTGGATCTAAAGCTAGCGCTTTGGGAACCAGCAACAACAATCTGAAGGTGCTGACATCGAGTTACCCCGAGGCTGACTGCCTGCCTCTCCCTCTTCCCCAACACCGGAGAAAGAGGACTCAGAAGCTCAGGACTCCAGATTGTCTTAACCTACTTTCCTCGGAAGCGCTCTAGGCAAAGTAGATCCAAGGAGCCTGAGACACCGGACAATCATTCCGAGGCCAGAGCACCCCCTGCTGGCTGGCTCTAAGCCCCACCCCTCCCCCTCCAGCTGTGTGGGGGGGGGGGAGAGCTGGCCTCTTTGATCTAGGAGCGTGGCCACCCGCTCCAGGCGCCCCATTACCCTCCATTATCCCAATTAGGCATCCCTCCCAGTCCTGGACACGAGCTTCAAAGCCCCCTTCAGAGTGGAGAGGAAAGGGGTTGACTCTTTCGCCCCTCGCCAAGCCAAGTCATTTTCAGGCAAGACACTGGTATCCGGGTTCCCAGTATGTGTTCATGATAATAGAGCTATAAAAAAGGATCTCGAAAGAATAAATAGTGAAGGGGACCCATTTTTCCTCGATCCCAGTTCTTCACTAAATGATTGAGGTAGGATCCTGCTATCTGACCCGAGTCTCCCATCCACTTACCCAGTTTTATCCTATCCAAAGGGGAGCCAAGAGCCTCCCTCCTCCATCCTTCATCCTATCTCAACACTCCCTCTCCTCCTCCCTCCTGGACAATTTCCGCTGGGGGAGCCCGAGCAGGGTTCAGCACAGTGGCCGCTTCCTGGAACATTTTCCTGTATCCGAAACCGCGACTCCCTCCCCAGGGACCCACTGATCAAGGCCAGATGGGAGCAGCGATGGGGGTGGAGGCAAAAGAGCCAGACTCTTACCATTACCCCCTCCCAA